CTACCTACCTACCCCGACGAGGCCAGGCTACCCGATCTAGAATTGGTCCGCCTTATGATGTACCGCGTCGTGAACCGACAGATTAGAGTCGACGAGTTCCCTAGGCACCACAGATACTCTCATTGTTTATCAATTTGAGTTGCTGGAAGACTCCCCGACGAGGATGCTGTTCATCATGTTTACACCGTTGGGCCCTCAATGTGAACTGTCGACCTAAGACAATGGTGATTTCCATCAGACTGCCGGACCATCATCTAAGCATTCTTGATATTTCACTGTTTCTCAGCTACGAACGACAAGAAAACATTCCAGGCTGGAATGCGACTTTCAGACATCAGGTTATAAAGCCAAAAACATTAAATGACTCCCTTGAACCAGCCGTGCTCAAGTGCTTGCCTTGCAGTGATCCGCTTCGTCGGATCCAAATTCGTCATCTTGCCCACCAGGTCCCTAAGGCCTTGCTGAATGTAAGTCCAAGATTTGAAAGGCTGTTCTAGGATTTGCAAAGTTGAAGTTGCTGGCAATGGCAATCAAGCGCTTGTGGAAGGGATTCTCTTCATTATCTCTTACATCCCAGTAGGCAAATCAGGCCGCTACTCCTGGTGGATTACATAAGGCCATTAACCCGCTAGGCCAAAAGATCACTAGGACAAACAGAACATTTGTTTGTCATTGCAACGGCATATCGATTAGGCCCTAACATCCGTTGGGGACCACAGCCCTAGTGGTGACGATCGCGTGATCCCGCTTACGCGACCCTCCAAAAGCTCACAACTGCCCTCTTGAACCGGAATACCTACTCTAGTCCTTAGAAATCTCATGACGGAAAAAGAAAAATTCCTATCTTCAGCCCGGCCTCAAAGATGGCCTTGGAGACCTATCATCTGGATGGTAGCAGCCGCGGGGACAGTGGGCCTAGTGGGGTTCGATAAATTTCCATTCCCAGCACAGCGCTGGGTTTTCCAGAACGATGCTCAAGTCCCAGACTCACCCTATGGACTGTTTCCACAAGAGGGCGATCCATTCCAGTTCATTCCCTGCACTGATGCCAGTCGTCCACCGCCGTTGGATGACCCAAATCCGCGGCAATCATGGGCCACCCTCTTCGACGTCAATCCTAATCATTGGAATTGGGGAAGCACAGGCCGGGGCATCTACCTGTGTGGATATTTAGATCTCCCACTCGACTATCACAACTCTTCCGACCATCGCATAGTCCGAATTGCAGTTACCAAGTTCCAGGTCGCTGGTTTGGCTCATGGGACCAGTATGTTACCCAAGAGTTACAAGAGTGAGCGCACTATCATCATAAACCCTGGAGGCCCGGGAGGAAGCGGCACATCGTTCCTTTGGGAGACCGCGGAGGAGATGACCAATCGCTTCAGTGACGGACAGCTCGATGTTCTAGGGTGGGACCCCCGCGGTGTTAATTTCTCCCTTCCGGCTGCGGCATGTTTCCCCCAAGACAAGTTCAGCGACCGGTGGTCACTCCTAGCACTGCGATATCGCGAAGAAGCGCCAAAGGCCCAACTGGAGGCTACGGATGCCATGAACAACGCCACATTGTTTGCTTGCCAGCAACGGCTGGGAGACTTTGGTCGCTTCGTCAGCACAGCGTCGGTGGCACGCGACCTAGACGAGATCCGAAAAGCACTCCAAGAAGAAGAAGTCACCGGATACCTGGTTAGCTATGGTACGGGGATTGGTCAGACCTATGTCAACATGTTTCCCACCCGAGCGGGTCGCATGATTCTCGATGGCACGGAATATGTCAGGGATCATCGTCTGCTGGGTGGCTTTGGCTGGACTGCTCTCGACAATGCGACAGATGCATGGCGCGACGGCTTCTTAGGAGAGTGTATAAACGCTGGTCCAAAGTGGTGTGCATTGGCCAAGCCCGTTCCTAGCCAGAATGGCCCAGTCACACTTGCACAGCTGGAAGCACGTATGACTCAGCTATTTGAGTCGCTCAAAGCTCGCCCACGATCTGCGTACACAGAATCAGCCGGTCCCTCTTTGATCACGTACTCAGCGCTCGTGGAGAGGGTTCTCTATCGCGCTATGTATAGACCAGAGGACTGGCCGGGTACAGCACAAATGCTCTATGAGCTCGAAGCAGGAAACGCGACTCTAGCAGCCAACTCCCTAGATCTCTCGTGGAGCGACCATTCCGCGAAGCCGTTATATCCCTATTTCACATCTTCCAGTGAACTCGAACTTCTCGTGATCTGTTCCGATATGTATGATGCGCCTCTTCCCGACGGACTTGACTGGTGGGATCAGTTGTGGGAGAAAATGTCCGCCCAGAGCTGGATAGCAGGCAACTCTCGCTTCTTTGCAGTTCTACCTTGTCGATATTATAATACCTACTGGAACCGTCCTTCAGAGGTGTATCGCGGTGATCTCAACAACACTCTCAAAACCCCCTCACTGCTTATCGCTTCTCCGTATGACCCTGCAACCCCGTTGCGCAATGGAAGAAGGCTCTTAGCGGAGATGGGCCAAAATGCCCGGCTGGTTGTTAATCATGCTTATGGGCACAGCTCAAGACGTGATGTGTCGGACTGCACGGATAAAGTGGCTAAAGCTTACATTCTACATGGCACTCTTCCTAGAGAACAGGAAATCCAGTGCTATGCCAATGAAAAGCCTTATTTTCATGGTCTTGTTGGCGACGAATGAACAGGGCTTGAGCAAAACTTTTTTAATGTTTTGACCAGCTTTTTATTTCAGCCAATAGATATTTCGTTATGAACAACTGCATTTGGTTATCAGGAGATAAAGCCTAAAGAGCCTTTTTGGACTGTGCATTTTCCAACAGTGTGTGGCACAAGGTCGTGTTGTCGAAGCAACCCTTCGACACTTGTACACCAAGTCATGGACCTTCGAAAATCTTCGTCAATTTCATCTATTCAGAGCAAATTAAATGATAAACACATTTAAATCCAACCCAAAAATTGAATGTGAAATTCCAGATTTCTCGATGTAGACGCACATGTAGAGGCGTGGCTCAAGTGTTGCAAGGATCTTCCTCAGCCACACCCCTAACACCAACCCCTTCATAACCAGATCTTGACCAAAACACGCATGCGATTGTTGTATACTCGGCTGCATCTTTCAATTACAAAGCTCTACAGGAGAGATTCATTCAGCCTCTCACATGCTCCCATCACTGCAGCGATATTTACCCCGCCTAGGAAGAAGATGGAAACCCCTTGACTTTTCCAACCCAAACTTTGTTCGAAAACCGGGAAGTGAAAAGATCGAAGAGGAATCCATTCTAGATTATGTTGCTTCTCAATTTTATCCTACACGAATAGGGGAGATCATTAAGGGCCGATACCAAGTTGTCGTCGGCAAACTAGGATTTGGAACGACCTCAACGGCGTGGCTTGCACGGGACATAGAGTAAGGATTCATTTGTGATCCTTCAAATTTTGTTTAATATCTCTATGCTCAGACTAAAATTATAGCGCCCGGCGTCATGTTGATGATGATGATGATGATGATG